CGGGGGCTTCTGGCTTGGGGGTTGGACGGGGGGGAGGACGCGGGATCGAGTGGGCGGCTCGGATGGCGGGAACGGCGCCGGCGGCGGCGGCGACTGGGAATGAGGGTGCTGATGGTTTGCGAAGGGGCTGCTGTTGGAGGAGAGGTTGACGGGGGAGGAGCAGCCGGACGAGGGGGGGGGCTTTGGATGCCATGACCCTTCTTTTCGTCTTTTGTCGAGTGAGGTGCTTGGTAGATGGAAAATGAAAATAAAACAAACGGTCAAGACGTAGGACGGGAAGAGGTTTTTTTTTTTGGGTGTGGTTTTTAGAGCATTCGAGAATGGAGAATGGAGGGACGTCATACTATGGATGTGATTGGTCCGTGCAGGAGACCCACGGGTCGACGGGTGGGTGGACTGGACGACGAGAGAAACGCGATACATGATACATGCACAAGCACGGTATTCTACTCCATAACGCCGGGGATCTCACTCAGGTGCAGAAGAGGTCGGCCGTGGAAAGATGATGGTCACGATGTGCCACAGATTTGGGCGCCGAGCTGTGATGCGCAGCGCGGCAAGTTGAGTGCCTGACGGACTGGTCGCTTGTTACTTGTCCGCCTGCCAGGGGCCAGACAGCATGGAGTCTGGACAAAAGGTTGAGATGACAAGAAGTCTCTGTCTGTGCGAGGGGGGGGGCGGGAGCTCTTGCCGCTTTGGGTTGTAAGTCGAGGCTGGGGGTTGGCATCAGCTCAGCTCAGTTCCTTCTCACCTTGGGATCAGAGACTGCGAATCGAATACCTCGAATATGGGCCAGCCAAGCCGCTGAGGGATGGGTTTATCATTCATCTTCCTCCTGAGACAACTCCGCAATCTCGTTTCCTCCGGAGAGAAACTCGAGACAGCCCTCTTCCCCGTCGACCACGTCCATCCTGCCTGATCAGCTGGCACTGCGAGCAAGCAAAAGACAAGATGAAGTTCTCTCTCGGCGCATACTCTTGCTTGGCCTTCTCGGTCCACGGCATCCTTGCAGGCAGCGACGATGCCATCCAGGCCCTGGCCATGGTCAACCAGGCTCGACAGGCCAAGGGAGTCAAGCCCCTTGCATGGGACGCCGGCCTTGTAGCCTACGCCCAATACTGGGCCAACGAAATGGCGAGCGGGAGACATCCGTTTGAGCACGCGCAGGGACCGAATCGACCGAGCCAGGGCGAGAATCTGTACGAACAATCTGCCGGGCAGTGCGATGCCGCCTACGATAGTCCGCTGCAGACCGGCATGCATGCCTGGCTCTCGCAGGAGCATCTGTACACGGGCCAGCCCATCACGACCGGCCACGAGCCGTGGCTGCACTGGGGTAAAGGACCATGCCGTATCCTTTGATGCGGGGAACCGCAACCACTTGAAGAGATTTTGGCTTGCTGGTGGAGATGTTGGCTTGCTGATGTTTTTGATTTTTTTTGCAGCACAGTGTATGTGGTCCACGACTACAAATATCGGATGTGCGAGAGCGTATGCCTTGCTGGAGCCGTACAAGTTCTTCGATGTCTGTCGCTTCACGCCCGAGGGAAACATGTGAGTGAGCTTGGTCATGAATGACATTCCGCTCGGCAAGAGACATGGAACGGACTGGTTGAGTCTCGACTAACGCGGATGGGCTGCCCAGCGTTGGCCAGAAGCCGTTTTGATGCGGACCAGCACTAGAGGATGGACCCTGACCGCAACACTGGACGTGGAGGCCTCGAATAAGACGACGAACACGAAAAAAGGGAAATCATCATCTTGTGTTTTTAAAGTCACATTCTGCTGGGGTTGCTTTATGAAGGAGGGAATTTGAGCTGCAAGAGGGCGTGGCGTTGTTCAGCAGATGTGGCTTTCATATTTCTGAGCCAAAATACCATGATTCTTGACAATCTGCAAGGATGGACGCGACAAGGGGGGAGGTCCGATTGAACTAGTATCTCCATGTAACGACTGTCTACCTAGTTTTCTTGGGGCTCTAATACCAATCTAACCATGTTTGCTCTTACAATCAAATGTCCTGAAGGGGAAATTGAAATGAGCAGTGCTGGAGCATGATTATCATCGGGTAGGGATGGCGAGCGAGGATGAAAAAGAAGCAGGAGCAGCAGAATCAGGAGTGCTGTCTTGATTGACTCTTTCTCTCGTAGTGAAACATCGGACGTGGGCACCCAACCACTGATGATGCGTTCAACTCCTTGACAACCTCTGTGCGAAGATGTGAGAAGAATTCTTTCTTTTGCACTGAGGTGAGTGGCTCTGGGAGCTTCAAGCAAAATGCTGGTCAAAAAAAGGGTGGTTGAGTAAACATCATCATTGGTGCCAACACCAAAAAGATGAGGGACACCGGATTTGAACCGGTAACCTTCAGGATGCTCCAGGGGTTAGATCTGGAATCTGACGCGCTACCGTTGCGCCAGCCCCCCTCATATATATGAATTCCCATCACTATTGATAAACATACTTTTTACACAATCACGTGGGACAGAGACTCGATCGAGCCTTGTGTGCCTCAGTACCCAGCTGCCGGTGATCCACTTTTCTTTAACCCATCTCTTTTCCATCTCTTCTGACACCTCTCGCAAAACACAGCCTCCCAGTCCTCCTCGCTCTATTCGAATCCATCAAAAGTTTTATCAAAGCTGCCCGCTCAGCCGGCGCTTTCGGCGTGCCCCAGGCGCGCAATCTCCGATTATTGCCCACTCTTGACTGCTGTGATTCGACGTATGCAAACTTGTTGCCTCCTCGACACGCGTGTTCGAAAATACAAAAATACACGACACAACCGACACGAGCCGGACAATGGCGTCGGCCGAGGTGGGCATTCCGCGTCGTGAGCGCGACGGCGGCGAACGGGTCATGCAGCGGAGTCAGCGAAGCCAGCGAAGCCAGCGAAGCCATCGAGGCCGGCGAGATGGCGATTCGTACCGGCCGCCGCGCAGGGAGCGCACGCCGCCGCCGGTGCCGACTGAGGAAGAGAAACAGGCTGCGGCCAAGGCAGAGTACGAGAAGCTTCTGAATGTGAGGTCGGGGGGCACATACATACCTCCCGCCAGGCTGCGGGCCCTGCAAGCGCAGATCACGGACAAGACAAGTAAAGAGTACCAGCGCATGGCGTGGGAAGCTCTGAAGAAGAGCATCAACGGCTTGATCAACAAGGTCAACACGGCCAACATCAAACACATTGTGCCCGAGCTGTTTGGCGAGAACTTGATCCGGGGCCGGGGCCTTTTCTGCCGGTCCATCATGAAGGCTCAGGCGGCGAGTCTGCCCTTTACGCCCATCTACGCTGCCATGGCGGCCATTGTCAACACCAAGCTGCCCCAGGTCGGCGAGCTGCTCATCATGCGGCTCATCATGCAGTTTCGGAAGGGCTTCAAGAGAAACGACAAGTCCGTGTGCCTCTCGTCGACGACGTTTCTCGCCCACCTGATCAACCAGCAGGTGCAGCATGAGATGCTGGCCGGGCAGATTCTTCTCTTGCTGCTGCATAAGCCGACGGACGATGGCGTGGAAATCGCCGTCGGCTTCTGCCGCGAAGTCGGACAGTACCTGGAGGACATGCAGCCGTCCATCTCGGTCGCCGTGTTTGACCAGTTCAGGAACATATTGCATGAGGCCGATATCGACAAGCGAACGCAGTACATGGTCGAGGTCCTTTTCCAGGTGCGCAAGGACAAGTTCAAGGACCACCCCGCCATCAGGGAAGAGCTTGACTTGGTGGAGGAGGAAGACCAAATCACTCATCGGGTCGAGCTGGATGGCGAGATTGACGTCCAGGACGGCCTAAACATCTTCAAGTTTGACGCGGAATGGGAAGAACACGAGGACGCTTACAAGAAGCTCAAAGCCGAGATCCTTGGCGAGGGGAGCGACCACGAGGACGATCAAGACGGAAGCTCGGGCGGGGAAGACGACGACGACGACGACGAAGAAGAAGAAGAAGAGGAGCAGACCAAGGCCATGGAGATCAAGGACCAGTCCAACGCCGATCTCGTCAACTTGCGAAGGACCATCTACCTGACCATCATGTCCAGTGCCGATCCCGAAGAAGCAGTGCACAAGCTCATCAAGATCAACCTCCCGGCAGGTCAGGAGCCGGAGCTGCCGTCCATGATCGTCGAGTGCTGCTCACAGGAAAAGACGTACACCAAGTTCTTTGGCCTGATTGGCGAGCGGTTCGCCAAGCTCAACCGTCTCTGGTGCGACCTGTTTGAGCAGTCGTTTGCCAAGTACTACGACACCATCCACCGGTACGAGAACAACAAGCTCCGCAACATTGCCCAGCTGTTCGGCCACATGCTGGCCGTCGACTCCATCGGCTGGCACTGCCTGTCGGTGATCCACCTCAACGAGGACGAGACGACGTCGAGCAGCCGCATCTTCATCAAGATCCTGTTCCAGAGCATCGTCGAGGAGATTGGCGTGCCGAAGCTCAGGGCCCGGATGGCCGACGACGTGCTGCGGCCGAGCCTGGAGGGCATCTTCCCGAGGGAGAATGCGCGCAACGTCCGCTTCTCCATCAACTACTTTACCAGCATTGGGCTGGGTGCGCTGACCGAGGAGATGAGGGAGCATCTGCAGAAGATGCCCAGGCCTGCGTTGCCGGCCCCGGCGGCGGCGGCGGCGGATGAGTCGGACTCGGACTCGGTGTCGAGCTACTCTTCGTACACGGGCTCGTCGTACTCGTCGCGGTCGCGGTCGCGATCGCGATCGAGGACGCCTCGTCGGATTAGAGGCCGATCCTTGTCGCGGCATTCGTCTGATCGGGGAAGAGGCCGTTCGTATTCGGGCAGCCGGTCTCGGTCTCGGTCTCGGTCTCGGTCTAGGTCCGGGTCGCGGTCCGAGTCTCGGTCTCCATCGCGGTCTCCATCGCGGTCTCCATCCCGGTCCCGCCTCCGGGCCCGATCCCTTTCTGCATCCTACAGCTCGCGCTCGCGCTCGCGCTCACGCTCACGGTCGCAGACCCCTCCCCGACGTCATCGTCGTCGAGACTCCTACTCTGCCTCACCACCTCGACGCAGGCGATCCCTCTCTGGCAGCGTCAGCGTATCGCGATCACGATCACGATCACGACCACGATCACAATCACAATCACAATCACAATCACCAACCCCACCCAGGAGGAGGCCAAGAGGAGACAGCCCGTCCCGGAGCCCAGCGCGCGCCAAGAGACGATACACGGAGAGCGCGTCGAGGTCTCCGCCTCCAGTGAAGAGGGGCAGACACGCGGATTAAATCAATCATTTTAAATCAATCATTGAACTTTGAGGGAGCAGGGTCTGTTCTGTGTATTGACGTTGGTTTGTTTGCATGTTCGTCTTCGTCTTGCAGACAAGTTTTCATTGTGGACCAACAGGAGGGCAAGACACAAGACATTTACATCGTTATTTTGCATGGTTTTATCTTTATTCAGTATTATTTATTCCATGGCAGGGAAAGAAGAGGGAAAGAAAAGAAAGAGGAGAAAAGAGGAGAAAAGAAGAGTAAAGAAGTTAAAAGGCGCATAAGAAAGGGGAAAAGGAAATTAGTCTGTCTAAACGTGGTATTAGCTAATGGGCATGACATGATAAAGAAGGAAAAAAAAAAACCAAAAAAAAATTGCGTTGTGAAATCAACTGTATTAAGCTCAGGACGTGTCACGTCTTGTTTGTCCCCGTTGTGTCGTACCCTTGGGGTTTTGTCCTAGAGAGAAAATAAAATGTTAGTGCAGCGAGTGTCCGTTTTGATGCCTCGGTGGTGTTTAATGTGTGACGTGCGGTGTTTTGCTGTCTAACCTCTGGCCCTTTCTTTTTCTTTTCTTTTTCTTTTCTTTTTTTTTTTTCTTTTTCTTTTCTTTTTCTTTTCCTTTTCTTTTCTTTTTCTTCTTCTTCTTCTTTTTCTTTTTCTTTTTTCTTCTTTTTCTTCTCTTTCTTTTTCTTCTTCTTCTTTTTTCTTCTTCTTCTTCTCCTTCTCTTTTCCTTTCTTTTTGGTTTCACTTGTGTGGTTAATAGATGCAACAAGGCGGGAGGCGCAAGGGGTAGTAAGTACTAGGTTACACTGTGTCGTGTGGTATGCCATCAAGATATGTCGTCCGTCAATCTGCTTTGCTGTTCTCCGTGGGAATCATCACGCGCGCACACAGCAGCTGTCAACAACTGGCACGATTCCTTGGCACAATTCACTGCCCTTCTCCTTCCCCTCCTCCTCCTCCTCCCCCTCCTCCTCTTCCTCCTCTTCTTCCTCCTCTTCTTCCTTCTTCCTTCTTCCTCCTCCCTCTTCTGCCTCTTCTGCCTCCTCCTTAGAGCCTTCTTCTGCTATTTTTTTTTTTACTCTAGAAGACCACCCACCTGCCCCTTCTCCGTACAAACAAAAGCGCCACCACGATATCCTCCTGGGCGTTTCAATCATCCTTGCCAGACGCCCTTCCACACACCCTCCTTCATCTCTTCTCCCAAAAGACTCCCCATTTCTGCACAAGAAGCAGGCAAGTACATCCCCTCGCAAGCACACTCGCAAAAAAGGTATCCAGCTAAAAAGAGAGAGGAACAGCAAAAGGCCCCCCTGGTTCAGCCTCCCGGCCTCCGTTGACGTTCATTCATCGTCATCCGATTTCTCCACCGCCACCATGTACCAGCGACTCAGTCTCGCCTCCTTCATCCTCCTACTCTGCCTATCGTGTCACGTCACAAAAGCGGCCTCTCCCGCCACTGAGAAAAATACCAGCTCGATCAAGGAAAACGACACTCCCGGCATGCCGTCCTCGTTCTTTACCTTTGCCCAGAACGCCGCTCAGACGGCGCTGAACGCCTCGAGGGAGCACCCCGTTGCCGCCGCCACCGCAGGCACGGGACTGTTCGTCGTGGCCGCGCCGGCCGTCGTGTCCACGCCGCTGCTGAGCTGGCTTGGATTTGGGGTCGCTGGTTAGTGGCACAAACTATGATTTTTATTAGAGAAAAATATCGACCCGTAGTCTCGTTTTTTCTGCTCTTTCTCTCTTCTTTTTCTCTTCTTTTTTTTGTGTTACCCCTCAGTTTATACACATGACTAAAACAAAACCTACAGGATCCGTCGCTGCCGCCATCCAGAGCAGCATTGGAAACGTCGTCGCGGGGGGCCTCTTTGCGACTCTGCAGAGCGCCGCTGCGGGGGGCGCCGGCGCGGCGGTGGTCAACGGTGCTGTTTCTGCCGCGGGGGGTCTCACTGCTGCCGTGGCGGGGGCATCGCCTTGGCTGATGAAGAAGGGAGGGGAGATTAAGGGACGTGAAAGCGGGGGATGTAAAGGTGAGGATGGGGGTAAGGGATGTGAGGGTGATGGCGATGGCAAGGGTGTCCCCCTCGCGCCACCAGAAGAAAAGGATATGGGGACGCCGCAGGCGCGGATTTAATCATGATCAACAGGTGATGGTGATGGTGATGGTGATGGTGAGCGCGAGCGAGAGCGAGA